ATTTTTTATTATTTCAAAAAATCGCGAGGTATTGCAACGAGATTCAACCGTTAAATTTTGTATCAATAAATTAAAAGCAGTTATTAAATTTACTCTGTCTCAAAAGCCTTGAAATTCAAGATAAATACGTTGACAATTGGATTTTTGTATTGGTTGTAAAAAAAATTGGTACTTCTCACTTGAAAGCCTCGCGTATTTATATGTGGCACGCTTACCATCTATAAACAAAAGAAAAAAAAAAATTTGAAGCTGTGTAAAAAAATAACAAAAAAAATTGAATTGAAAAGTGTAAGTTGTATTTGTTGGGAGCGTCATGATCGTACTATTTTCTTAATTACAGTGCGAAAATGAAGAAATAAATCGAAGGGTTAAGTAGTTAAGTGTAATATAAAAATAAAATTTGTGTTAAAGTGTCTTAAAAATGTGACCCTATTTATAATATAATGTGTAAAAAAAAAATTAATAAATAAATAATACCAGAAAAAATATGTGGCTGGTGATAAATGAAACTTTTCACTAATTACACGCATAATACTACAGTTACAATGAAAAAAGTTTGTTAATTGACGAGCCAATTAAAAAAAATGTCGCTATGATTTTGAGTGAAGAAACAAAAAAAAACTAAGATGAAGGGAAATGAGATCGGATGTTACAATTGTTATAAAAATAATTTGAACAATAAATCACGAAAAAAAATAAATAAATAACAAGTGATACTTGTATTTAGCATAAAGTATATGTTTTTATAGTCTAATGTCTGAATTCTTACTATTTATCTTACGTTGCTGATAAAAAAAATTAATTTTCGTAAAAATAATGCGATCGAATTTTCGACTTGCAACTTCATTTTACTTTTTTTTCGACAGATTTCTTCAAGTTTACAGTTTAATTTATTGCTGTATTCATCTTTATGACGAAAAAAATTAAATTGACTAACAATTTTCCGATATTCCTTTTATTATACAAGTATTTGTATAACTGATTGATTTAATTAGGAAATATCACTCCTGAATGAATGAAGAAAAAAAATCATTGCGCGATTACAAATATATGTATGAAAATACAACAAAGCACCGGATTGAAAAAAAAAACCATATGAAAAATAACGTTCTCTGTTTATTATGTAACAATTTTTTTATGAACAATATTATACTTCTATTAAAGTTATTTATTATACCGACAACCACATTGTTATACGTATTTTCCAAACAAATGAGTGTTTATTGTACAAGTTCAACAGTATACAGAATTTAGTTTTAAAGCATCAAATGGTAATCTGATTGTTACTATTAATCTTCACCAATAAGTAATACACCTCATTTTTACCTGATTACATTATATTAATAGATAAAAATCTGAATTTTAGTTAAACGAAACTCACCTGACGATCGTCAAAAATTTATTTGACGGACAATTGACGCCCATCAATTAATTATTACTTATATTATTTTATTTTTGTATATCATCTGACCCTTGCTGAATATATTTATATAGTTACTCAGAAAATTTATTAGAAAGATAACTAACTGAATTTGGCTAATGCACGTGTTATATTTTTTTTTCATATTTTTTACTTCTAATGAGAAGTAATGCAAATTGAAAATATTATGAAAAATTTGTTCTGAATATATTCATGACACCAATACATTTTACAAAAAATCATACAATTATAATATTATGACTGATTATGTCGTAACTGATCCAAATCGACTTAAAAAAAATGTATTGAAAAAAAACTTTTTTTACGCCGTGCGTGGCTTTTTTCCTCAAGTGATTGTTTTTTTAGTGTGCTCCACCTCCTATACTCTTTAGTTAATAAGTTAAATTGTGTATAATCAGTCGTATCTCGGTACTTCCTCCACTAATTTGATTAAATCTTGGCCCCTTTTTTTATTTCTGGATACCTACAGCGCTGGAAAAAAACTTCAATTTCATTGATTAAATTTTTATTACTATCCAATTTATCAACTATGAAAAAAAAATTTTTTAACTTAATTTTTCTTCTTTTTTTTTTGTTGTTTTCGAATATTTTATGCTGCAGAATTTGAAATTTCAATTATTTTTATAATTTGTGCGTATATCCTACTGATCGTATCGAAAGATTTTTTCTACAAATTTTTTCTACTTTTTTTACTCATAAAGGAAGTTTTGTAGTAGATAGTCACAAATCAAGGTAATGTGTTATAAAAGTGTTTATTGAAGTTAAGATTAAAAATGGAGTAATCTGTCGAAGGTGTCTGCTGTGTCTGTATATGTACGTGTAATCATCGTCACAACTCAAGGTACCCTTGACCCAGTTTGATAAACTTTTGGTTTTTTTTATAAAAAAAAAAATTTTATCGAGATTAGAATGTGCAAAGATACATGTGGGTATGTAAGAGTGTATAATTGCATACTTAATAAAGCAACGAGAGGATGATAGTTTTTGCCTTCCTTTTTTATATTTATACCGTAAAGTTTTGCAATTCTTAAAAGTAATGGTGCTTTTTTTGGAAATTGTCAAACATCACACACAAAACTACTGTTTGAATGGAGAAAAAAAAAATAAAGACATTTAGCAAAGTAAAACCCATGACCCAAGCTGTTGCATCCCCTCTCTCCCAATTTGATTAGCCTTTCTTTTTCTTTTGACGAGTGGAAAATCAATTTCCCCAGTGATTTGTACACATGTGCATTTACATTCGTGTAAGTGTAAAGAAATATTGCATGAAACATATTTTGTATAAAAAAATACTATGGTTTGAGTTGAGAGAGAGAAAAAAAAAAACCAGAACAAAACACTAATTATAAATGAATGCAACAGCAAGTATTTACTAGTTGAATCGTATAACTTGACTGGCCTGCAAATAAACACATAGAAAAATGGAAGAGGCTCGGGAATTATATAGATGGTGCTGGCAAAGCTTAAAATAAGCTACCTCGCGTTGTGAAAATTATTAATGGTAAGCAATATCAACTTGACCGAAGATAGTAAATATATTGCGGTGTGTTAATAAAGTACTCAAGTGAGCTTATACAAGCAAGTCGAAGAATGTAGCGTATGAGAGAAGAAACGGAGTTTTAGAGATATACATAGAGAGAATACTTGAAAAACTCAAGCGTCGCGAAAGCATTAACCACGAATCTGTCGAAATTGTTCGTTAATAGTATCCATTTTTCAGCATAATATATTAGTTAATGGAAAGTGAACTCAGCATCACAGTTTAAGTAAGCTTGTCCTTAAAATGATGATGATGATATCGATCAACCGTGTTGATTCGAATAGCAGTAATTATCAGTTCATTTTTTTCATCCGTAAAATCGTTTTATGAAAAATAAAAATGTAGGATGAAAAAAAAAAAAAACATTTTTTTGTGCATTATATTACAGTTGATCAATCAACCATCAATGTTAAAGGTAAAAGTTGCAATGAACTTGAGGTGGTCTCTAGCTTCTTCCAATTATACATAAATGATTATAACGATAAATGATAATTTGTAGCGATTAAATATAAAAAGACACACGAAGCGATTTCACGTTGTCATTGATAATGCATTATACATATATTTGTAGGGAGAAACAAAGAAATATTCGTAAAATACGAACGGCTGGAAAAAAGTGTATAGCTTAGACAAAGACGTAATGGAAAAAAAAAAAAAAAAAAAAAAAAAAAAAAAAAAAAAAAAAAAAAAAAAAAAAAAAAATTAGGAGAACAAATACATTAGAACAGGATAAGCGATTTGTAGCACTTAAGGTCGTGAAATCGGCGTCTCACTTTACGGAAACGGCGTTGGACGAGATCAAGCTGCTGAAGGATGTGCGCGACACGGATCCCAATGACCCAAAGCGCAACAAGACCGTCCAGCTGCTGAACGATTTCAAGATCAGTGGTATAAACGGCCTGCACGTATGCATGGTCTTTGAGGTGCTCGGCCATAATCTTCTCAAGCTCATCATCCGATCAAATTATCGGGGCATACCACGTAACAACGTCCGCCGTATCATCAGACAGGTTTTGGAGGGGCTGGATTATTTACACAATAAATGTGAGACAAAGGATAAAATATCACAGAAACGGTAAATTTTGTTTTTCAATGACAAGGTTAAACGTTTGCATCGATTTTTAAGGTCAAATCATTCACACTGACATTAAACCGGAGAATGTACTGATCTGCGTGGACGAGACGTACATTCGCAAGCTTGCCTCCGAAGCGACAGAATTGCATTCCTTAGGCCTGCCATTGCCTGCATCGCTTATATCAACGGCGCCCAAGGAGTTCCAAGAACCAGTGCCCACTGCTAAAATGTCCAAGAACAAGAAAAAACGGCTCAAGAAGAAAGCCAAACGTCAGAACGAGCTTCTCAAGCGACAAATGGAGCAGATCGAGGAGATAGAGGAGCAGACCAAACAGGAAGGCCCCGACGTTGCTGCCGGTAATTATTATTCCTGTGCTACTTTGAATGCATTAATATGATGAAACGTATTGAATCAAAATTTATCCGATTCCTAGGTCACAAAGAGAACGGCGAGGCAACGAGAACGAACGCGGATAACAGCGCGACCGAGCAGGAGCTCAACTCGGAGAGCATCGATGAGATCTCGGAGAGCAACAAGGAGTCGCCGGACGACATGTCTGATTTGTCCGCTACTCCTATGCACGTCAACGGCGAGTCGAAGGCTACCTCGACCGAGCCGACGGCGATGTCCGAGGGCAGTGACGACAAACAAGAAGACCAGGATGACGACGATGAAGATGAAGAAGAAGAGGAGTGCAACGATCAAGAAGTCGATCAGTCTTCTCCTGCCAAGCAGCAGAAGAAACCTGATAGCGTTGCTTCACCGATTGGTGCCGAGAAGGGTGCCGGCGATGCCGAAAATTTCAGCGAAGGTCAGTCTTTTTATTGCAAATGTCATACTTGCGTGGGTGCTATCAATCAAGTTGCTAACGCGTGTCGCTGTGTTCGTTTGCAGGTGATAATTTACGGCCGTCGCGCGACAGGAATCACCGAAAAAGGTCATCGGTCGTGCTGTTGGATCCCGCACTGGTCGATTGCGAGGTCGAGGTAAAAATCGCGGATCTGGGCAATGCCTGCTGGGTCCACAAGAAATTCACCGAGGACATTCAGACGCGCCAGTACCGTTCGCTGGAGGTACTTTTGGGCGCCGGCTACAATACGTCTGCCGATATTTGGTCGACGGCTTGCATGGCTTTTGAGCTGATAACTGGAGATTATCTCTTCGAGCCTCACAGTGGTGAGGATTACTGCAGGTAAGAAATTAAATTTTATTCCAAGTAATCGAATTTTCGCAGTCGGATGTTAATTTTACAATCTTTGTAGGGACGAAGACCACTTGGCGCACATAATTGAGCTGCTAGGTGAGATTCCACGACGTATAGCGCTGTCGGGACGACACTCGCGCGCCTTTTTCAACAAAAAAGGCGAGCTTAAGCACATAACGGGCCTCAAACCTTGGGGTCTGTACGACGTGCTCACTGAAAAATACGACTGGTCGCAAAGCGAGGCCCGCGAATTTGCCGACTTTCTTACGCCAATGCTCGAGTTCGATCCGAACAACCGAGCAACCGCAGCCGAATGCCTCAAGCATTCCTGGTTGCAGATCAAGTGAATGAATTATACCGCTTGCGGAAAACACATTCGAACAGACACGTACTCTCGCACTCCATGCGCTCTGTCGTCTTTCCCATCTTATTGTTTCTCTATGCGTTATATATTTTTTTCTTTTTACACAAACACACTATGTTTCTCGTGTTCTTAGTTTTTCCCGTGTTGCAGTATTTTTTTTTTTTTTTTTTTTTTTCCTTCCTCTTTTTTACGTATTTGATGGCTCTCTTTTACGCATATGGCGAGTTAAGAGAGGGTACAACTAATTTTGTGTGTTCTGTTATTTTTTGAGTACTCCGACCATCGGCCGAGGCAGAAAACCATTATGGGTCGCTAAAGAATGGAAATCAAGGAGTGAGAGATTGTTCAAGGATGTTGTTGAGATTAAGTTTATTTAGTTGAAAATCAATTACTTTTATTGCAATCCTTCCGCTCATCGCTTTTTCTTAACTACTTATTTGAAAGGTGAATTAAGTGAATTTCGTTAAGTCGATCATGTATTGTGGCGTGATTGGTTATTGAGATTTAATAAATACACCAATCGTGGTGAGACATAAAATTTTTTTTTAATTGTATACAAAGTGAATTGTAAATTTTAAAATTAATAATTCATCCAATTAAGTTGGGCACGATTTCTTTTAACTTTTTCAATTCCTGATAGGTTCGAAATTCCATGAAATTCATCTGCTCTGTAACAAACGAAAATCGCAGTGCTCGTACTACCTCTCAAAAAATACATATAAAGCACACGCTCGCAAGTAATTAAAAACAAATAAAAAAAAAAAAAAAATAGTTTACTACTCACGATGGTTNAAACCAGGATTGAATTTTTATTTTTGAATACGCGTCACTGCTTCGAAATAAAACTTTAATTTAAACGACAAGTTTTTGTTCGGGTTTTTTTTTTTGTTTTGAAAGTAAGATATTTTATCATCGTATATTTCATGTTACAAACTCTCCCGAAAATCATAAAACTTTCAACAAAAAAATATTTTATATAATTTAGAAACAAATTAAATATGTGAGATGGATATTGTTACAAATAAGTTGTTGAAAATTGAAGATTTTTTTATGATTTGATAAGAAAATATCTGGAATAGATTGATTTTACAAAAAAAGTGTAACAGCAAAAAAAAAGAAGAAGCGTCGTGCCAATAATTATCACTCTTTTACTGTTTTATCTTAAAGACTCTAAACTTAAACAATGTCAGTCGTACGCTACAATTCGGATACATAGTATCGGCTCCATTGCAGTAACATTGAGAGCCGTCGTGGGTTTCTCTAAAAATTTTTTTAGTTGTACCTCGATTAAATTTCAGCCAGTGTTTTTCGTTTGTTCGTCGATTTTTTAAATTATATGTTTTAAAAAGTGACTGATGGATAAAAGTAGAAGGAAACACAGACCCAATCCCAAGCTTAGCGCCAATATTTTCGGCAAAGTCTTCTTTTGGTTCGTTAATCATTTGCACATTTATTTTCTAAAAACTATTTCCTACAAAAATTTGATATCATCTCAGACGTGTACGACTGTTTTTTTTAGTCTGTTTCTCTTACACAATTTAATCTTTGAAGATAAGAGAGCGTGTACTCGCACAAAATTGCGATGCAAAAAGTATCACTGTAAAGTATTCATTTTTGCTACTTTTTTTATAGTGACACAATTTTTATCGCGTGCATGTATTGTGTTTATCTCATGTTCTTCTTGAAAAAAATCGGAAGACATAAGTTTCTGCTCAACAATACGCACGTATAATTTACAGGTGGTTGTGGCCAATATTTGCTGTGGGAAAAAAGAGCGGGAGCATAGAGACGGAAGATCTCTATCAAGTCTTACCGGAAAATCTCAGCGAAACGAACACCAATGCTTTAGAAAAGTAAATTAATTTTCATTATTTCACTCATCATTTTATCATCCAACACAATTTAAATACCATCACCATTATTTCGTTTAAAAGGTAAACTAAACTCGGTTCATATATGATCCTCTCCCTTGAACTGTTTCGATCACCCACTTATGAACATATATTCCCGATGAAACTTTTTCAATTTAAATAATAATTAACGGATGTTTTATTGCAAAATAGAAACTGGACGATAGAGTTGGAAAATGCAACCAAGAGTAGCAAAGAAGCCAACTTCTTTCGAGCACTTTGGAAAACATTCAGGTGGAGATTTTTCAGTAACACGTGTCACGTGATTTTTGTACACTTTTTTTGCCCGTAAGCACCTCCAGTTGAACCCTCACTTTCTTCGTTTCTATTTAATTTTTAATGGTTGTCTAGAACCACTTTATTATTCCAGGACGATTGAGCCAACAGTTGTGGGTCTTCTTATTTGGCATTACGACCAAAAATCACCCACAAGTACAAATCTGGTTTACATCCACGCAACGATTTTTATCGCAAATGCAATCGTTAACCAAATTATATACAACCATATGTTCATGAACACTCGGAGCATCGGCATGAGCGCCAGGGTAGCCTGCACCTCGCTTATTTACCGAAAGGTAATCGCAAGTATTCGTTGTTTAGCCGCAATCTTGTGTGATTATGGCAATATTTAACTTGACGTGATAAATTACACCATGCAATGGCACAGATATTGAAAATGTCACATGCCGAGCAACAAGAGCACGGTGGACGCATAATCAATCTGCTGTCAAACGATGCGGCTAGATTGGAGCAATTTTTCTTGTTTCTTCACTCGCTGTGGGTGTTTCCCCTACAAACGGCTCTGTTCGTATGTCTGATTTGGCACCACGTGGGAGTCGCGTCCTTGGCAGGCATTGGTCTTCTGATGAGCCTCACCATTCCGGTGTTTGGTGATTATGAGAAACTTCGTTTTTCATGGGTTTAACTTTAAGTATAATTGGGAGGAAATTGATAAATGTGACGATAAATTTTAGTGCTTAGTGGCAGAGTGATGTACCGATTTCGCAGAAAAGTGGCGACGAAAACGGACGACCGGGTGATGCTGTTGGGCGAGGTCGTGCGTGGGATTCGCGTCATCAAGATGTACACGTGGGAGAAGCCCTTCGAGCAGCTAGTTTTTCTCGCC